TATAAACACACACTAGAACACTAAATAATAATTTTCCCTATTTTAACACATTTTGCTGTGTGCCTGATGAGAATCATTGTTTTTGAATGATTTTTACCCTTTAAAATAACTCTGACACTGGTATTGAATCAGTGAGCAAACACTCAACTGAACACTAACCTCTGTTTTTTTTTTTGTTTGTTTTTTTAAGTGTATTTCATGCCCAACTAACAAGCAAGGAGGTGCTGATCAAACGAGTCATTGCATAATCAGCTGCCAAATGTTTTCACCATACTTGGTAATTTCCCTGCCGTAAGAGGTTTGTTTACTGTAGGTGGGTTGTGGTGATGGTAACAATGCAGCATCCTGGGTGGCTTAATCAGATATTGATCTGTTTTTGCCTCCAAGTTTCATCTTTGAGAACTGCTCAGCCTATTGTATTATTCATAGAAATATTTATGAAAACGCATTCCCCAGCTGACCCGTGTGTTGTGTCCTCCTGCACAACCCATAAAGAAATCTGCTACCGGAAATAGATATTTCTGAAAAACAGGACTTTTTGATTGTGAATCTTATGAAAAATCTATAAATAATAATGACTGAGAGTTCCTGTGATTTGTGGTATTCCTTATGTACGTCGCCTCATGATATGAAAGTTTTGTGAATTTGTAGGTTAAAAGTTAAAAAGTGTTATCGGATATATAGTAGAATGTAGGGATTAATGACTGAAATATAAATTATGTGTATAATGACACTGTAGTTAATTTCAGATTTGTATTGTTCCCATTTTTCTTACTGTGCGTGGGAGCCCATCATCTATTCATTGATGACAAACCTGCCAGTTCTTCTCAGCATTGTTATATTGCCATGACTTTCCTCCTACTCTGAAATATATGCTCATATTTAGCTCTCTTCAAATGAACTTGGGGTGTACTTTTTATGTGTAGGTGGGAAGGTAGTGGTGTACCAAAGAGCATTAACCCAGGGTTCATAGAGTAGGATGCATTATGTACTGCAAATGTTGCATATCAAATACATGCCTTCGGTGTTTTAGAAAATTACAAGGCCCTGTAGCATTGATTTTACCATACAAAGTTTAATAAATCTGAGGAGTGTAGCTCTGATATAAATAGTATAGTATTCATGATATAAATATTTCAAATACAGTTTTGTACATGCAAAACTGGTAGTTGTAAAAGAAGCTATTGACCATGTAGCAATCTGATATGTAACCATCATCTGTAGAGGAAGCTTTAGCGTGATGGATCAAAAACTTCACCATAACAGGATGAACAAAGAGGATACTGCCAGTCCTGTCCACTCCAGTTTAAGTCTCACACCAGTGCAAAACAAAAATCATGACGCTGCTCAGGTGTGGGACCATAACTGTGGGAGACTAACTACAGCAATACCTGAGATGGCAGAGTCCTATAAAGACAAAGGTAGAAATGTGAGGCAGATAATTCCAGTGTTGCTAGTAGTTAGTAGCAATCAAGCTCCAAAGCAGTGCATATGCAAATATATTGATTTGCATTCCTGCAGATGGTGTGATGTGCTGTCATTAAAGATGGCAAAGGTAAAGCATGATATTAATGCACAGTTAAAAGTGTTTTCTCATGCATACCCCAAATGTAAAAGGTAATGTCAGGTTGCATTTGAGCATTGTTTAACATCTTCTTGATGATGATTACATGACACTACAAAAGTTCATTGAAAGTAACAAACGGATGTAAATACTGCTTATCCATGCAGTGCCTTTTAACACAACCATCATTTCAAATGATGTTTAGTCTGATAATGATGTAGTGACGAATTAAAGTGATTGAAAGATTTCATATCATGATTCATTTACATTTGCATTTTTTTTATTTGTTATTTAGATCTTGAGCAACTTTGAACCTTAGCCTGTATGTATATTTATATTTTTGTTAGATGTTTTATATTCTTTTTTCGTTTCTTCCTATCTTTTTTAAAAGCCTTCTCTCAGAACATTACGGTTCAGATGCATGGGCATATGTTTTTGATCCTTGATGAGGCATGTAATCAGTGCAGAAATAAAAGCAGCCAGTGTGCTAATTGAGTTGTTATCAGAGCCGAGTTGGGCTGTTGCCCACATTGTTATACGATGTTGGACTCCAATTCCCACCTGTCTAACTGGCATGTATTCGTGAGTTGATTCTGAATAAATTTTGCTTCTCCTGTTTTTCCACTTAATGTTTAATGATTTCCCTTAATGAGAAATGATGGGTTAAGAGAGACGCGAACACCTGGTGCCATTATGTGCAATTTCTAAGAATGTTTTCACCTCAAAAACCAAGCATATTTTCATGAGAATGAATGGAAATCCTTTGCAGTTAGCCTAATGCAGTTTCGGCATCAGTGTTTCTTCAACACTTGCAGAGTTCAAACCTAATGCTTCCTCTAACATGACCTTTGCAATTCGAACAGTGTTAGGTATTCATGCATAAAAAGGTTCAGTGTCAGAGCTGTTGTGTTGCACAGGGTGAACATGCAAGTTCCATACAGAAGAGCTTTAGCCATTCATCTGAAACTGTTCACAGAGATGCATGAAACTGTCAGTGTTTCTTTGTCTTTTGTTTGCCCTGTGTCAGTATTTTATGACTGAGCCATGATTTACACAAACAGTTTTTCCTCGAAAAAACCAGACTGACAGTAATTTGAATTTTTACGCCTTAATTGTAGCCGGGGGCACTGAATTTTTCCAGCTTGGGCTGCTAATAATTATGAAGTACAAATGTTTGTGTGTCATTAGTTTAGGCAAATTTGTGTTAGTCTATAATTGTGACTTGGACAAACATCAGACCACATTTTATGGCTCATTAATGATCAGTGCTGAAAATATTTGTAATTCCAAAGTGTTTCCAAACCTTTTCATTAAACTTTATTTCTTCAATACTAAATACATTTTATACAGGATTAATCGTGTGACCCATTTTATATATAACCAAACTCTAACTGCATTAGTTTATTAAAAAAAGAACTGAACACTTGTGTGCTTAACACAATAATCCAGTCCTTCTCATCCAATTCCAACCTGCGTGTTTTAACAAAGCTGATCATGACTTTTGATATTCTCTTGTCACAGAAGGCCAAGATGTAGGTTCAGTCATTTTCCGTTGCAAGGTCTTTTTGAACAGAAGGAGGAAAGAATTTGTTTCACATCAAGGTCATCTGCTAAGACGAGGTAAGCGCTAAATTAAAAGTCCCGCCCCCTTATAGTTGAATAACTTGCTCCACCCAATTCTAGATATGACCTAGACCTCAGAAAAGATAGCTTCTATTAATCAGTGATGAGTTCCACTTATCACCAGGCTTGAGGAACTACAGTATCTTGTCTTCCTCCCATCACTTCCAACCGGTCATGGCTGATGGCTGCTCAGGAAGGAGCAGGAGGTTTCATGAAGTGGGGAGTTTTTCCTTCCCACCATTGCCAAGTGATTGATCAAAAGGGGGTCGTTACCTTACCATATAAAGGCTCCTGTTGGTCTCCTTGGTCTCATGTCGACACAATAGGAGTGTGTTTTCATTTTCTTGCTAATAACTGAACAAATGGGCACAAATTGAAGTAAAAGCCAGCAACGCAGTCTCTTAGTAAGGTGCTGCACCACTAGATGAGTAAAGTGATTCAGCATGTTTTTACAAGTCTTACAATTCTGTCCAATTTTTTTGTAATGGTGGAGATACAATTTAAGGCTTGTGGTTTTAATTTACCATAGGTGTACAGTGTAAGTATTGATTAATGTGATAGAAAACATTTTCATGCTCATTAAACCGCACAGTTTTACATTTAAAAACACAAAAAAACACACCAAGTCAGGAAAGAGATGTGTTGATTTGCAAAAACTATTCCCTCCTAGGGGAGGGTTATTGGAAGTTGGGCCTAACCACGCCAGCAAATTGCTTCTTAAAGCACAGCAGTGCTACTAAATTAACTCAAGAGTCAAGGATTCAGTTTTTTCTGTAATTTATCATCCCTCTGCTGTAGTTACACTTTGAAATCTGACCACAATAAATTGTTCATTCAGACAGGAATGAACAAACTTGTAACTCGTACTTGCTATTTTTTTTTCCCTGAAAGCCGTACAGAGAGCCATGTTTTATACATTTCAAGTGAGTACAAGGACATTGCTTTCAGTGGCATGTGTCCCTGTATGAGATGTACATTGCTGGAAGGGATTTTGAGTTTATATCCAAAGGTTATATGAGTTATGTTCGCTGTCCTTGGCCCCTCTAACAAACTGTGTACATGGTCACTAATGAAATCTGTGCAGAGGTGCAGTATGTGTATTTAAAAAAATCATTACAAAATGTTGGCTTTTTTAAATTTGTTTGAAATTGTTTTTCTTTGAAACAGGGCTCACTGATGAGGTGATATACTTGAACAGCATATAGAAAACATGAGCTTTTGGAAGTTGAACAAAAT